CTCATGGCGTCGTCGCGGTCGGTTCTTTCCTGTTCTGTCGCTTTTCCCAGCGCTGCCGCCATGGCCCCCATGGAGTGCTCTCGGAAACTTGAAAGGGGTGCATGTGCCCCCTCTCGGTACCCGCCACTTGCCACGTCAATGATGATGCCGGTGTGGGCCAGGAAATCCCGTCCCAGAATGATGGGCACTGTCAGCCCGGCCAAATGGACGAACCGCTGTCTCTGCGCCCGTTGATTCCAACGTACCACGAGACGCACTGCACCCCTCGAGGTCGTCGACCCACAAGCCAACTGGAAAGTGGTCTCCCCATGCCTCACCCGAACGGACTTCTGTTGGAGATGCCTGAGGACCTCGTCCCCAATTAGCGACGCACTAGCCCCGCTATCCAGAAGAGCTGCGAACTCCTTTCCCGCCACCGTCAGGGAAATAAATGGGGCCGCGGTGCTTGTCACTGTTCCGACTCGATACGCCGTCGGCACGCACACAGTCGATGGGGTGTCGGGGACCCGCTCGTTGGTCTGTTTCGCCGCCGATAACTTTATCGGCGGCCTCCTCCGTTTCCCGGTATCTCCCTTGAGCAGTCGCGCCTATAGTGCCCGATTTCGTGGCACCGAAAGCAGCGGCCTCGCCAACCTGGGATAGGACTCTCCCCAGTGGGACGTGCGATGCGCTCACCCCTTTGTGGCAGCGGGTCAGCGGCAGACTGCTCCTGGGCTGCGGCGATCCGTGGTGCGCCGGTCGGCCGGAATTCCGCCGCGTGGACGGCCGCGCTCCCTCCTCGGCGTGATCCTGGCTCCAAGGCGTCATCTGTGAGCTCCCAGGGATTCCCGCTCGGCTCCCCGCTGGCCGCCGCCATTGCGGCTTCCCCCCGTCGACACCCACGTGGCACCGGCCCGTGCCACGCGCATCGGGGTTCGAGCGTGTCGATTGGAGCTGGGGGAAGGTGGTACCTGCGCTCCGCCAGTATGTCGGCCTGAACCTTGCGCGCCTCCTGTGCGAGCTCACTCAGACTTCCGAATGGGCGCCCACGCAGATACCGCGAAAAGGTGGGATGCGCCTGCCTCACCACCCGCTCGACCTGCTCCTGGTTCGTAGCATTCGGATCGGCGATCTGCAGGAGTTCCTGCATTGCCCGCAGGTACTCAGCAAAGGGCTCAGCGGGAGCCTGCGTTCTTTCCTCCAGTTCCCTGCGCATTCTTGGCAGGTAGTCTGCCGGCAAGAACTCTTGCCGGAAGAGGGCCGTGAACTCGTCGAGTGTTCCGGCTGACTCGCCCACAAGGCGATGCCACCTGGCTGCTGGGCCTACGAGAGCCACCGGCAGAACCCTGCCTAGCGTCTCCGTCTCGGTCAGGCCGGTAGCCTTCCGATATCGCTGGATTTCCAGCAAGAAGTCGGTCGCGCTCAGAGCTCGATCGCTGTGTCCGCTGTACTCCGGCACCGGAATGCGGATGAGGGTTTTTGGCGGTGGCGTTTGCCTCTGCATGCTCTGTAAGGCCTGAGCGAACGCCGCAACCAACGCCGTGGATTCACGGGACATCTCCGTGCTTTGCGGCATAGACACTACTGGCGATACCGTCGGCGTTTCCGGACTCCGCACTACGGTCATCTCCGCGGCGTTCCCCTCCGCCAAGCCCGAGAGCCGTCGCTCTTTTTCCGCTTGCGTCGTCGCGACGTCAGCCAAAAACATTAAATCTGTTAGCGCGAAATTACCCGCGGCCATCCCGAACACTTGTTTGGACGTGCCTTTTCCAACTTCAAAGTGCCGCGGTATAGACCCGCCAACCAGGGGGACCGCCCCGCGTGAACTTTCACGCAGTGTCGTCGACGGACGTTGGGACCGTAATTACGGCTCGCCTGCCCCAACGTTGATGCGCCATTTGTAGGAAATCGCGTACCGCCGCCGATTCGCCGTTTCCCACGTGGTCCGTCAACAACCCGAGTCCAGCCTGGTTCTTTCACGGGAGCGGGATTCCGCTCCCAGTTTATTGGTACAAAAACACACAACACTACAAAACACTCAATCTAAAATACAAATACAAGTTACGTTACAAAAATATTTACAACCGCACGTTAAGCCCAACGCTAAACACAAAGAAGGCCTTAGGCCTCGCGCCCGCGATATCCTAGATCCGGTCGCCACCCACTTGCCTGCCTGCGTCTCGGTCTCGTTCGGAGTTCTTAGAGGCCTCTCGCCCCCTGCCCCACCGAGTATATATCTCGATGGGCGAGGAGGTTTCTCCTCGCCTGCCACGGGGGCGCCTGCAGCGCCCTCCAGTGGCTAGGAGAGAAAGCGGCGCGTCGGGAGCCGAATTCGAGATCCCGATCGACCCCGCGGCAACACGACCATGTGATCGTGTCGCGGCCAAGATTGGCCGAATGGTTTGATGGGCGCCCTCGTGAATTCACGGTGCGCCATAAGATCTATCTACAGTTAGGTATAAATCTACAGGGTTAGATCGGGTGAAAAAAAACAGTTTTTTTCGGCCCGCATAAGCAAACTAAGCATTGCAGAAAGCTGAGACTCTGAGCATGGGACGCTATAGCAATGGTAATATAATTCAAACTTTTGACCACATGATGTTACCTGGATAACGACGAAAAATCAAAATTTCTCTGAGCCGAATCCACCTAAGCCTAATATTCATCAATCCTAAATTTGGGGTTGTGGGCGCGTGTAGCATCTATTTCAGTGACAATATTTCTTCACTTGTACAGTTGCTACGGGCGCGCACAACCTTGAACTTCGGTTTGATGACTATTAGGCTCAGGTGGAGTCCGCTCCTAGAGACATTTCTGTTTTTCTTTCGTACCCAGGTAACGTCATGTGCTCAAACTTATGCATTTTATCACCACCCGCTAGCGTCGCATTCTCACAGAGTTTCAGCTTTCTGCGACGCGTCGTTTTATTTTCTGTGCCCCGGTAGATCAACCAGATGAGCAACGCTTAGAGTATCGGCGCTGTATTTCTCGATTTGCTCGTGGGCATTGCGATTTTGGAGCTCAGTGCAGAATAGCGATCGTTGCGACAGGAAAATGCAAATGTTCGAGCTTCAGGTAGGTTGTCAGAAAGCTCAAGGTAAGATCGGAGTGCTCTCACACGAACTGTTTTTCACATTTCTGGGGGTCAGAAAAGCGTTTTCAGCGATTTCCGCTAAAGCTGGAGCCTTGGATCGCGAATATAGGAGCCAGTTAATCGGACCTTACAAATTCTTTAGGTCGATACTGACCTCAAGAATCACTTAAACCCTTCCAACAACATCACACCATCTCGACAACATCTACATTTATTTTATCATATAAAACTACACAGACGAAACACGGGTTTATTATCTCCGATAACGGGTCTAATCGCATCACATCGCGAGATATACGAACTAGCGTCTGGATCGTAAGCAACCCTTCAATTTTAAATTAGGTATAGGCCTTCGTTATAGTTGGCAGATAACTGCCAACTATGACTTTAGGCATCAAGATAATTGAAGTGTGGTGAATCTGAAGCTTACATAGCGAACTTAGATAGATGAATAGACGAAGGAATTTACAGGGAGAAAAAAAGAAAGAAAGGAAAGGAAACGATGCGAAAGGTCCGAGCGCAGTCGACCGTTTGGAAAGCCTGTTGGCCGTCGTAAATTTCCGTCCCGCACGCGGCTGACTTGACGAGCGGCAAAGTGGCTCACTCGGCCGGGGAACCTAATCTCATAATGCGGGCGTCCACGCGCGAATCATTAAAAGTGGCGCCTCCTTTCGAAGGAGGCCAGGCGCGGTAATACGATCCGACTAGCACTTCCTTCATCCCCGTTTGTCCTCGAGCTGACGGTGCGGTGGAAACTACGCGCTAGCCAAACCACTCAACCGCCTCGCTGTCTTCACCTGACCCAGCTCTCCCTGTGGCTGGATATGGGCGGGAGAAGCGCGATCACGTGACGAAAGATGGCGTACGATTGGTCCAACAACCGTCGTAGCTTCCACCGCACTGTCAGCTAAGGGGTGAACGGACGGGATGCATATATCTTGCCGCGATCCACCGGCCGCGAAGAGGCTGCGCCAACTTCGACTCGCTGAATAATGAAAGCGACTCTCTGGAACCGGAACCCTTGCTGCTCCCTCCACGAGCTCATCGGACATGCCGAGCTAAGCCGAAAGAAAGCCGAATCGGAAGCAGATGGACGCCACGAGCGCATGGCTGGTGAGGCCCGCTTCAGACAGGGCAACTTTTCCAGCAATTTCGGGGTTGCTGGCGGGTTATTCCCTAGCTTTCCCTAAATCGACACGAATTGCTGAGATCGGGTTCGGCTCGAAACGGACGAGCAACTCGAATAACTCGAGCCCTTTGAAGCGGCAGCAGCCAATCAGGGGCACGATATGTCCACGTGACACCCCCGCGGTGGTGATGATGACCGCTAAAGACTTGGTTCTTGTTTGAAATAGATCGCTTTCGGAAATAAACCTTTTCAGAAAGATGCGTTAGTATTCTCAGCGCTATTCAAATATATAAAAGCACGTTTTCACCGCGTAGCTGTGCGTCTAAATAATGCAAGAAATTTAAAACTGAATGACGATGATGGCAAGTGGTAGCAATTCGGTTGCTGCGTGTGAACGCGGGCGGCCAGTGTTGCTGGTGTTGTGACATCAAGTTGCTGTGGGAAATTGCCCTGTCTGAAGCGGGCCTGACGGGATAGCGTCCCGAGCAACTAATAAATTACGCTTTAAAAAAAAAAAAAAGCCATTTTAGCCACTTGCCCGAAGTGTTGCCTCAAATCACCGGAAACGTTTTTCCACGTCCTTGAAAATTTCCACTTAGTCCGCGACAGAGTGAAACGATATCGTCTGAGCTTTCTTGACAACGTGTCGAAAAATCGCGAATGTTAAATGTTCGAGTCGTAAGGATCACCTATTCCGCCTGCCCTGCAAATAAGCGCCGAAGTTGCGGCACCTACGAAACAATCGAGTGACTTTAGAGAGAGCCACGCATGGAGTAAGGAGTGCAGGACTGCAGGTACCTTCCCGTTGTGGGCGTACTCGAAACCGTCCGGCTTGCACTCGTGCGAGCGGATGATCCAGTCGAGCTTGTGCCTCCTGAGGAAGGCCGCCGTCACGTCCGGCCCGAAGAAGCTGCCGCCGCCCCGCATCTCGTTGGGCCGGCAGCCCGGCTGAGGCCGAGGGTCGCTCCACAGCAGGTCCACCAACTGCCGATGGATTATCTTATGTTGATCGATAGATTGATTGATTGTCAGGATTCAGGTCCACCAACTGCCGATTGATTATCTTATGTTGATCGATAGATTGATTGATTGTCAGGATTCAGGTCCACCAACTGCCGATTGATTGATCGATTGATTGTCACAGCAGGTCTACCTACTGCCGACAGTGCGAGAATAGAGATGATAGTGATTATACAACCCTATTCATTTATTAATTTGATTAATTGATTGACTGACCGGCTATGCTTGATTGAGCGATGAACTGCCACACCAGGTTCACGAACCGCCGACCGCCAACTGGTTGTACAGATCTAGAGTAATTATACTTCGTGATCGATCAACTGATTTACTTGATTGATTGATTGACGGACCTACAAACCAATTGACTGATTGATTGATCAAATGCAACTGCAGGTTCACGAACTGTCGAACGCAAAAAGAGTATAGAGATATATAGTGGATATATATTCCCTGTTTGATCACTGATTCACTCGATTGGTTGATTCACAGACCGACAGACTAACTGATTGGTTGATCAAGTGCCACTGCAGGTTCACTAACTGCCGAGCACGGGCACAGTGGATTTATAGTACAGGGTGAGATCGCAAAAATGAAACCGGGTTTTTTTAGCCCGAATGAATAAACTACGCATCACAAAAAGCTGGAACTCCGTGAGAATGTGATGCTAGCGGTGGCGATAAAGTGCGAAAGTTTGAGCTCATGATATTACCTGGAAGAAGAAATACAAGAGGAAAACAAAAATTATCCGTGAGCCGATGTTCACCTAAGCCACCAAATTGATTTAAGATTATGTGTGCCTGTAGCAATTAGGTCAGTGAAAATCTTGTCAGCAAGAAAGAAAACGATATCGTCTTTCTAACTGACAAGTTTCTTCCCTCAAATAAATACTACAGGTGCACACTTTCTCAAACATCGGTATTATGCAAATTAGGCTAAGGTGGATGTCGGCTCATAAAAATATACTTGTTTTCCTTTTGTATCTTTTGAACCAGCGAACGTCATGTGCTCAAAGTTTTGCACTTCACCACCACCACTAGCGTCACCTTCTCCCAGAGTTTCAGCTCTCTGCGATACGTGGTTTATTTACGTGGTCCGAAACATCAGGTTTCATTTTCTGAAGCTCACCCTGTAGTTGACTTGACTGACTGACAGACAGATTGGTAGACTGATTGCTTGATTGATTGATTGATTGAAGTCCCTTACCGCCCTCTAGGATGTTTCTAGTTCTCGCGTGCGAAATAGAGCACTACATTATCCCATCATGTCATGACCTACCTGCCTCCATTCGTTTGCGTTGTAACCACTGTGATGAAGCGGTGGTTGCAGCACCGTCACGAACTGCAACAAAAACGGGAAAGAAAGAAAAGACACTGTTTGAGTCTGCGCCATGTTACGCGCATAAGATTAAGGCTGCGCCGGTATATCAGGAGTACCACCAACATGTTCGCCCTTGTTTCTTTTTCTTTGTAAAAGACGCGTGTAACTAAGTTTTTCTACGTCGTTAGGCTTCAGGAGGCCGAAACTAAGACTTCTCAGTAAAAGTATTTCTTAAGAAATTTAAACTTCTGTCATTCTTTTTCTTCTTCTTACCACCAGTCCCAACACGGTCGGTTAAACGCCGCTATTAGCCCCGAGAGCGAACACAAGCGTCGCTGCGGTCGCCGCGCTCTGATTGGGTGAGGCGTACCGTGACGTCAGGGCGAGTACTCTGCTCCGCGATCTCGCATCGGCTCGCTTCCCAGCACCGGTTTCTTGGTTTGGCGATGTGCGCCGCAAGCTCTTCGAGGAGCTGGACATCGTTTTCCCGGTGTACAAGACGTTAAGTTAGGCCGATATTGACGTGCTCCCGTACATTTTATAAGCCTGCTCGTCCCCTTTACCTTTAAAATTGGGTTACAAATCCCGAAAGCAATCGACGGAGGCAATTTTGCGAGGAATCGGTGAAGCGGTGCCGCAAGTGTTTCAGACGCTGGAATTCTGTTCCTTGCACGTTCATCATTCAGGACGATATTACATCCCGCTTTCAAGGCATTTGAAGTAACATTTATATAATGGGCCTTTGGGTGGTCGGCAAATGAGCTCGCGACTCCGACTTTGCGCTGCCACTCTGCATGCGCTGGTTCGCAGATGTTTCAAAGGCCCTGTGTCTGATTATCTTTGAAGTGCTCATGGAACAGGGTTGTCTTACATAAATGTAGCTTCTTCGTGAATTAATTATATAGTTTATACATGTATGCAGGCATATTTCTTAAAAGATTCCCAATTACTGGAAATTAGTTTGTATGGTAGCAGCAAAGACGGCCGAATTGCCTCCAGTTGCCTGTATGCTATGTATTGAACTGCCCAAAATATGCACAGCAATAGTGCCGTAATTTGGAATGTTTATATTTTTTCCTGACATTTTTATTCCAGCCTTGGGTATTCAGAAAATACACCGTTTAGTCTGAATTGTCATTTCCAAGTAAAAGAGACACTGCTGCAGGTCTCCAAAAGCTTCCTCAGCCTCCAAGTTCCCTACAGCTGGACTCTCTGACAACAGAGGAAAGCAGGAGTAAAAGCAAGGATTCGAACGTCTGTCCAGTGGTAGATGCAGCACTATGTAGTAGCATAAAATGTGGAACCTGTGAATGGCGACAGTCTGCGTGAGAAAAGCTTCTGGTATATTAGCTTCAGTACATTTCGGTTTAAGTAAAATCTCAATTTTAGGACTTAATGGACTAATAACGAGCTAGACACCTTCGCCTACGTTTGTTATACATTACTTGAGGGTTGATATAAACAAGTCCACAGATACCACCCGTGTATTCCATTGAAATACTATCCGAATCCAGCAAAGGTCAAATGCGAGCAATGTATATAATAAATGTTCCTTGTTTTTTTTTCCTTTGCCCCTGCACTTGGGCTGTCTTACTTGTGATTCTCTCCCCATGGCCCAGACTGTATTTAGCATGTTGCTCGAGCAGCATGCAGCTTTTCTGCTTCAGCGATCTTGTTTAAAAACGGAGACACAAAAAAAAAATAGTATACGTAACCTGCCAATTCATCCTAACCATCAGCAGCGTTTATTGTGTGAGATGTAAATCTATAGTGATGCTCCTGCAATTGTGGCCATATTTGTGTATTTTCATATACCAGCTCCGATTCATGCGTTGCCTGCCCTGTCTACCATGCTTAAAATGTTGTTTGAAGTTTCGCCTGTAGCTACAAGCCATACCTCAATAAAGGCACATATAAACGGTTATACTTCCTACGAAAAACATGCCAGAAAAAAAAATATAGAAACGAGCGCGCCGACAGCTAGCGTCGTCACAGCCTCCACAGGGCGAACGGCGCGAGTCGGGGAGAAATTCACTCCTCGCCGTGACGTCACCCCGGTTTGCCGTAAGGGGGCGCCACGCGAACTTCTCGCGGCTAATATTGCGCATGCTCACTCCAAAAACTATAGTACACACACGCAGTTTGCAATTAGCGTCATATTTTGACTGGCAGTACTCAAATAAATCTGCTAAACGATTCCCCAGAACTCTTCCATAAGAATTGTTAAAGAGTTTTTTTGTGCTGAAAGGATAAACTTTTCCGATCTGTGCTTAAAGGATAAAATCCCAAGTAGTACAACAGGTGGGGCCCACGTGGGTCTCACCTCTTGTGCTACTTGTGGGACTTTCCCTAGAAGCAAAGCTTTGGCTGGAAGCACAGTACACCGGAAGGGCGCATCTTACGTCTTCATTCGATTTGCCGCCAGCGACTGCTTGCCTGCTGGCCCGCCACCGCCCTCCTTCGCTGTGGCGCTGGCGTCGTGAAGGGCACCACGTAGCGCGTACTCCCACAAACTCTATCCAACTCCGGTCTGTCAGACGCCCCCAAAGCGCATGCCCAGCCCGAATCGCCGTCCTCGGATGGTGAGCTTACCATACCGCTCCCTAAAGCTCCCTATCATCCCTGTCTTATGGAACTATATAGATCATTGCTCCTGTCCTAGGGAGGTTTAGGGAACGATGCTTCTGTCCTAGGGAGCTTTAGGAAGCTGTTTGGGAGACAACCCACTCAACATCCACTTGATGTCTACACACTCTAACACAGCCAATCGGCGTCTATACCTGATGTCTGTTGATGGCCGCGACGACCTTCAAGTCCGTCTCGGAGGACACGCCGCCGTGAACGACGAACACCTTGTTGTCGATGAGCGTCGCAATGGGTAACCAGCTGTACAGCTCTTCCGTAAGCTGGACAATCTTCGACGCTTGCCTCTGAAAGGAACGCCATGGTCCAAGATGTATACCATCGCTGACCAACAGGAGCGGCATACCAGGATAAGCTCGCGGCCAATGGGCGGAGCTTTTAAAGCCCGCCAGCTGTCCTAAAGCGAGCACAAAAATATTGGAGAGGTTATTTCTTGACTGTTGTCGTCTTCGGCCAAAATTCCCCATGTCCAAAGCCGAATTCGCACTGCTCGTGCCTCGTGTACACGGGAGAACACGGTCTGTTCGCAGCAGACATGATGACAGCATTAAAACTGCGGACACACGCCTCGAGTACGTTCGAAAGCATGTTCACTTCACACGTATGCACGCTCCGAACATGTCTGCAAACAGTTCTTCTGTGACCAATGTGGATGGATGGATGGATGGATGGATGTTAATGGCTATATCCTTTGTAAGAGGTGGTAGCTTGCGCCACTTATAGCCCAGGTTACAAGACCGTCATACAAGGAGGAAACACATCGTAGACAGTGTCTGCAAACTGTCTTTTTGTGCGATATATTAGCTGCGTGTCCGCATCTTAAAAGGACGTGGGCAAGCCGTCCAAAAGTGAGCGCCATCTCGTGGCTGTCGCACCTATCGTCCAAGTCCGCCATTGTTTGGTCACGTGTTCGGAGCATGTACTGCGTCAGCGTTCGACTTGATTTCAGATTCAATCCGCACGCTTTGTGCCCAAGTAATGGCGACCGTCCATATGGTTTAACGAGTTTTTTTTTTTTTTTTCATTGGCGTAACGGCATCCATATTGTGATATATACCCGAGAAACATTCTGTATTACAGCTAGGTCACAGACAAGCCGATTTGTGGTCGGTTGCTCAAAAGAAGTGTAAAGGTAATAAGGGTTGCTAACGCGGGTATTGTAGAACAAGATTTCGTGCTGTTTGTCGTTCTTCGCTCTGACAAGACCCTTACAACCGCGACGCGGCCAGAGGACACTAAAGCCTTTGTGTCGACATCGATGCGAAAAGAGCTGGCGCTGTGAAAGGATAAAACTTTCCCCGCCGTTATGAACGAAAGAACTTGGCGAGACACTGGGAAAGGTTTTGGGATCAAAACGAAGCCCCTATTTTCAAAATTCAGAAACTCTCAAAAACACTCTTAGCGTGTACTTCTAGGGGTTGACGTTCCATTACACTTGAAAGAGATGCATCTATAACTCTCCGACGTCTTAGGAACGGTTCTTAAATCCCCGGGTCGATTTCACGCACGAAGCGTTCAGAATTTTGAAACAAACAGAGTCGCAAAAAAAAAAAAAAAAAAAAGTTGAGTAGGGAAAAAATTTACTTACAGTGTACTTGAACATGATTTCCTTGAGGAACCCGTACCTTCCAGCAGGAAAAGAAAATGAGCGAATTCAAAGCTCAATAAAAATGTCATACGCGTGTCTCAAAACGAAAATCGACAAGTTGCAGGATCTGAGTGCGTGGTACCTTTCGTAAAAATGCACTTAAAAAAATAATAGAAAAAAAAAAAAACCTGAAATAGAAAAGTGTAGATTACATTTAATACCTAGGGCTTCAAACTCCGCGATGAAAACAACAACAACAACAACAACAGCAGCATCGGCAACAACAAGTTCTGGCGTCTGTCTCAGCCGTTTGTATGTTCCGACGTGTGTTTATTTGATTATGGCAGCGTCTGCGTCACTACTTTGAAACGAAATCGGCCGGCATTTGGACGGGTTGCTTGGTACGAATCAAAAAGACGTTTGACGGAAATTTCCTTTCGCAATTTTGACATAAACCTTCTAGAAAGCGCGTAAAAAAAAGAAAAGAGAGAGAGAGAGAGACAGTGAGGCAAGGAAGGAGGTACAGACACTCAAAAGAAATCTCAGTTTGAAAGGCCTCCTAAGAGAGGCGATTTGTTAGTTGCATTCGCACAGAAACTCTCACATATGTTTGATGCAAAAAAAAGAAAAACTAAACTAAAGAAAACCTGGAAGAAAATGAGATATTTGACACGTAAAATATACCAAAAAAAAAAAAAAAAAGAGAAGCGGACACGCGGATACATTTAGGTGGATCTGCAGGCAGACGAGGGTGGCTTTTGGTACTCTACAATATTTCTATCTCGTTTTTTTCTTTAATACCTTAATTTCTTTTCTTTTGGGGATTTATTTATTTAGTATAGGAGTTTCACGACTTCACTCAAACAAAAAGCGTTTTCAAGTTTCAGCTGAGGTGCTTGAAAGTTGGACGGGCCACGGACGTTTGTGTTGTAGTTTTTTTCTTCGCGTAGAGCGCCGGCAGAGCGGGCCTTCGCGATGACGCGTGAAAAGGTCAAAACACGTCCCGTCGGCCATCACTAGGTTTTGAACAAAATAGTTGTCAGGTTGTTTAGATTTTTGTTGTTGTTGTTGCTTTCTGAGGCTTATTCTAACGCTATACACCAACACAGAGTTTAAACCAGACGAGGCGTCCGGCATGCGCAGTGCCGACAGCAGCATCTCATTACAACTCCGCAGCCAATCAGACTGCGGGATTTGTCAATAAGAACAACGAATAACCAATGACAAGGAGTGATATTAATGAGCCACGCCCCCACGTTACTACAATTACTACAGACGAGGCACCGCCTTCCTTCGTGGTGCGGGCTGTTGCCTTTCTGCGGTGCCACGGCTTTCCTCAGCCAAATAAAGATTACTATTACTAATTACATTTACCATTACTATTACTGGCGCCTCTATATGAAAGATACTCGTTTGCCGCAGAACGCGTACCGCACTCAACGATAACGAACCGTCCTATTTCGATGGCGGGTATTTTCGTCGGATAGGGTGGGACGAGGCGAGTCTGCTTTTTGCCCGGCGTGCATTTTGACGATAGCGCTTTAACGTATGGCGTAATGCGTTCTTAAGGTTCAAACGCAAAGGCACAGAACTGACGGGGGTGGGCGTCGCCGCATGCATTGGGGGGTTTGGAGAAGCGGCCGACCAGGAGGAACACTTCTTGAACCGTAGTAAAAAAAAAAAATGTCCGGCTGCACGCGGGAAGTTACTGCTCTGTCCCCCCCTTCCGTGTGTGGTTTTAAGATGTATGTAGATGCATCTTAGATTCGATTTGTGTCATTTTCTCACGATATACACGTTTCAAACGCCCAACGGATAGTTTCTTCCTTCGACCATTAGGATATCACGTGAACAGGCTCTCAGGAGGTCAGCCTGTTCACGTGATATCCTTGGGTGACCGAGCCATTCATATTCCAAAATGGCAGGCAGTGGTGTCTCGATTCCCTCCCCGCATATAATGCACGTTTTATTCATCTTTTGATATGTGACCCTGTACGCCCTAGTTCTCAAAATCCACGTCCTAGCCTCAAATATTAACGTACTGCCTCTAGAGTTATCACATATTCCTTTTTTTTTTTTTTTTTTTAACGGGCCCGATTCGCTTTTGTGAATTAGGAGCAAAAGTTGACGCGCCCTTGCGGCCGAAATGGGAAACAGAGGAAGGGGATACCAAACGCGCGCCGTAAAAGTCGCAATGGCAACTAGATGAGGCCGTACCTGAGGTTGACGTTAAAGTCCTCGTGGTTCCCCCGGTTGAGGAACACGGCGTCCCTCCAGACGAGCATGCAGACGAGCAGCAGCACGAGCACTTCGACCGAGTGCATGCCGCGGTCCACAAAGTCCCCGTTGAACACGTACGGGTTGTCCCTCGAAGGCAGCCCGTTCTGGGGACACACGCACAGACAGAAAGATCCTTATTAATACTCTCCGCTGGCCATAGATGGCGCCATCGATAAACCAAACCCCATGATCTGTTGCAGGATACGAAAAGCAGGGCAAGCTCCTCCCACCGAGCCCTCCACTCTAGAAGGCTATGTACTTGGACCACGCTCTCAGAAATAGGGGGTGTAGTACTTACACCCATTATCCCATATAAAACGTCCCATATATAACATCGCCGAACCGACGGCACCAACTTTACGAGCGACGTGATAGTCGAGTGATGCGACTTTTTAAAATTATTGATGTATGGATTAAAGACTACAGGAAAACGTTCGAGGCTTTGTAGGTCCTGCTGCAAAACCTGTTTTTCTTTTCGGTCTTTGATACGTACATGAACTATTTAGTAAGGCATCAGGCCACTCGTAAAAGTAAATATCGCCAGTTCAACGTCAGTGGACTGAACGTCGACATGTAGTTTTGGGGTGTTATATATATGGGACAAGGGTAAGTATTACACCACCTATTGCTGATAGTGCAGTTGGGGATTTGTTGTTTATGAGAAAAGCGCTAAAAAGACGACGGACAAGATAGTGGACGCAGCGCGATGAGGACACGTGTGGCAACGCCCCGTGGATCGCCTTGTTCGGCTCTGAGGTAGCATACTTAAAATCGTTAGAGCGATGGACATTAGTGTGATAACATGTAGTTTGAGGAAGTACTTTACCAAGGCCACGCGTCTCTTTTCTTTTTATCACGGCGCGTATGTTTTATTTTTTTATTATTAAACTTAATTTGCAAGAAGCTATCGGTGCTGTTCGTCGTTCTTTAACTTGTTTATGTCGTCTTTTTATCGCGTTTATCCTACATCCTCCACCCCCGACCCTTCGGCAGAGCGAACGCTGGAGAGGAGAAGAGTGGAGAGCTTTGCGGAAGGAACTTACGGACCCGCTCTTCCTAACCTGCAACAGAGTGAGCGGCTAGGTAGCGCAAGCCACCGTCCAGTTGAAAAGGGAAGGACCAACACCACCTATAGTCGGAGACAGGTTAAGAACCCAGGAGAAGACCAGGCCTCCAACACGCCCCTCGTTTGCCTCCCGCAGGGATTTGGCTTCGGAATTGCGACGAAGGATTAGGGAAGAGGGAAAGCTCGAGCTCGTGATGGGGATCATCTCGTGGGTTCTTCATCTGTCGCCGACCATTGACGACTTCTGCAAACTCGGTGGCACCTAACGGCTAGAACATAGAGCTCTAGCGGCAGGTTCGTTCGCCAGGTTTCTCGAGCCGATCAAATCACTCGCAGCGCCTGTCGGCTTTAAAGACGAAGCCGCGAAAGTAGGTTCGAAAGCACGCGATGGAAATCGCCGATAGATCGATCAAAGCCCGTGAACGGCCACCTCACACAACGTCCAACTCGGCAATCGACCCTTTCCAAAAAAATCTCCATCAAGCAGCGTGTGCGGTGGCCATTCCTTGAGGCCCGAAGTGTGCGGTTGGAACCGAACCCTCGCCGAAAGCATTCGTTTTCGATCCGAACTGCAGCCGAATTCTCACAGACAGCCAACGCGCACGTCGCGTCAAACATACATGCTCAGAGTGCGCGTTCAAACCACGGCGTATAGTTGAAAAATTGGCGCAAATGCTTTTGGATGGCGCACAATTTTGAAGAAGTCCCTATTGTGCTCGGACCTCACGTCATAATAGTACCACGAATTAGTAAAAAAACAAAACAAAACATATCAGTTGTGTTGTTTGGATGCTTGTCTCTCAGCGGTAGATCAGACATTTAATGAAATGAGTTATGAGGGAAGTCCCCGGCTAGCCTTGGGTACTTAACGTGCACCACGCGGTATAGCGATGCACGACCGCACGCCGGTACGATGCTCATGCAGATCGAAACTTGAAAGGGTGGGGATTGAACCTGAGGGACCCCGGGTTGTGCAGCGCTCCACGCGCTCTACGCTGCGGTCCGGTAAATACTCATCCACCGATCATTTTCGGAACTTTACAAAAATCACATGTTCCCCTCCCTTCTCTCAGATACGTATATACTCCTTTTTTTTTTTTTTTTTTTTTTTTTTTGTAGAACAAACTGAGCAACATGCGGCCGTTAAAATTAAAAACCATTATCATGTTATGGTGTCTCGAATCGTCGCTATTTCTTAAGAACCGGCGTTCAAGAACGCACAAAAATACACAATATATGGTTGTATTTATACTATAGGTGTACGTGTTATAAATAAAAAAACCGCCTTTCTTAATCTGCCCGATAACGAGACAGCGCCGTTTTGTCCGGCTCATCTTACAGTGATCCGAAATGTCGGTGCAACCTCTTATTCGTACATAAGCGTAAGCCTCTTCTCCTTTTATTATTGTTTTTTTTTCTTTTTTAACGAAGCCAGCGGTTTGAAATATTACAAAAAAAGAAATGGCTTCTTTGTTAGGACTTTGACTGTGACCAAACGCGAGAATATATAGTGGTACCTTTTTGCTCCAGTCTTATCATCTTTGCTTCCGTGGCCGCGGCGAATTCTATTACGCCACGAAGTCACGTTTTGAGAAGAAAGCAAAACACAGATTAAAAAAAAAAAAGAAAAGGTAAAGCGCAATCGGAGTATCTTGGCGCTATACACGCCGTTCATCCTTACGATGAACCGCACAGAAGGCTACGAACTATCGAAGCCAATCCAATGCCGTGGTAGCGTCACGTGAACATCGGGAGAGCCGCATGCGATGCGCGGGTGGATGTTGTCACGTGACACGCCTTCACAGCGATGGATTGGTTTGGCTGGGCTTGGCTCGTAGCGTTCGCTTTGGTAGGGACGCAAGGTGATACGAGCTGTATAGAGAGAACCACAACACCCACCGGTGCGCACGTGAAGGCAAGAACAAATTTGATAGAATGAAAGGTACGTGTGCAACGTGTGCCTTCTGAAATGCACATACAAGTGCAAGAGGCAATCTTCTCTCGTGGGTAAAAAAAGTACAATGCGAAAGAGAGAAAAAAAATGTTTTTCGTGGTTTCGTGCCGCGTTCGCTGCGAACAAAGATCTCCTTGATGTGAGGCTTGAAAAGAAAAAAAAAAAAGGCTACGTATTTATTACGTATTATTAGATTATATGAATACGCAACCCATTTTCTTTTATAGAAAGTTACAAATATAGGGCAATATGGTACACGTGTATGCTACCCTATATTTGTAACTTTCTGAAAATGTGTAGTAGGCATCTTCTGCTCGCAATCATGCCTTTTAGATGCAGCGAGATGGCCCAAATAAATGAGTAGATGAACATAAAAAGAGGTGAAACTAATCAGGTCCGAGATGGACGTTTGGAGATTGGACTGTGGCTAGCACGTTTTTAAGTTAGAGCGCAGATAAGGTTTGGGAAAAGGTTTCGAAGTTGTTCGCAACGAAACGGAGCGCCCGCATCGAGCTATAAAAAAGCAGATAAGGATATAAAAAAAAAATACTAATAGCAACCCATGAGAAGAACAAAAACGTAATAAATAAGAAAAAAAAAAAAAAAAGTCCGGAGGATTTTGTTTGCAAAATCGAAGAATTCGGGCAAGCGTTTTAAGCAGTTGGTCGGACGAAGTGACTAAAATTTAAGATATAAAAAAAACTCGCGCAACTTACTAAAAAAAACCTTTATTTTTTATTTTTGTAAGTCGTTTATATATATATATATATATATATATATATATATATATATATATATATATATATATATATATATATTGCCTCTTCCTCAAAAGAAGGACACCTGGAAGTTCCTTTGACACGGCCTGCTATCTTGAAAATGTAGAGATTACGTAATACATAAAAACGAAGCAATATCTCGCTCAGTAATTCAATATAAAACGACCAAACTCAGATTAATGCAAACCAGAAACTAAACTCAACAAAATGCGTGAAAGTCTTTTTTTCCAAAATTTATTTTTGGAGCATGCATCTAAATAGCGGCTCCCCCAAACTGGAAGTCAAATAACATTAATTATATACCGGAATATGCTCACCTCGAGTATAGAAAGGGCGCGCGCTGTGTCTAATAAAGAAGTTTGTTCTACATTGCCCATGTACAAAGACCTCGGTCCCTCTTTGCAATTATTTCGTGATGCGAGCCACTTCACGTATAACTAAACGTCTTCTGTGCGTATGATAGTTAATTACGTTTTCGTTCGTGAGAAATGCGTCTTCCAGGAGGCGAAATTCTCTCTACTAAGAAACTTGATATATATATTTTTTTTTACCTATAGAAAGCAAATTTAGTACCTTTGATAATAATGCAATTAATGCAAAGGTGTAAGCCAGCTAGACAACAATAACTATAATAATTCCTGGAGAAGGGGAACATGGGGGACAAAGTACAAACACACATCTACAAAGACAGCTAGGTGACTGGTGTGCGACCGCAAAAAGCCTTGTCCTGGTATCGAACTAGGGACCTCTCCATCTCCAGTGGAGTGTTTTTCAGTCGCGCACCTGTCACCTAGCTGTGTTTCGAGATTTGTGTTTGTACTTTATCACCGCTTGTTCCCCTTCTCTAGTGATTATTATCGTCATTCTTGTCCAGCTCGCTTGAACCTTTGCATTAATCGCATTATTATAATAACCTCATAATGCAGGCACTTCACCCTCGTTGGTGCTAGACTTGTGGTAGCTGATAAAATCCGTTTGCTCTACTGACGTCTGACTCCTGATTAGCTAACTTGGAAGAGCGCTCACACAAAAATGGAGAGGTCTCTGATTCGATACCAGGACCAGGCGGATTGTTCCGGTCGCGCACCAGTCACCTAGCCGTGTTTGGAGATTTGTGTTTGTCCTTTGTCCATCTCGTTGCCCTTCTCCAGGAATTATTATCGTTATTCTAGTATCCAAATCTAAACCCTAAGACACGAAAAAAAAAAATAGGACAAGAATAAAAGTAATTGTATTGTCCCTTACTTTATTCGTTTGTGTGTCGGGATTTTGATTATGATGACCATGATGGCAGACCTACACCTTAAATAGAAAGGGTGTCGCCTTACACCCTTTTGTTTCATATAATGCACCCCCAAAACTTCATTTCGACGTACAGCGCCCTATAGTCGAACAGACGGCCCCAAATTGTACGAGGGGCTGGATAACGGTGCGATATAATTTATTAAAGAGCTAAGTACATATCAAAGACTACGGAAAACACTGAGATTTTGCAGTAGGGCCAAGAAAACACAGATTACTTTTCATTTTAGTCAGTGACACGTACATTAGATATTTTATTAAGTTGTACCACTCGGCTATCAAGCCCCTCGTAAAATTTGGTACCGGTGGTTCGTCGTCATCGCGCTGACCGTCGAACTGAAGTTTTGGGCTGTCTTATATGGGACAATGCGTGTACGAATATGCCCTTCTTTTATGAGAGTATAAGACTAGAGTAGGAAAACGGAAAACGCGAAGGAATGCAGAAAAAGGAAAGGCAACCTCTTAAACTCAGCTGCAAAATTTATTTTGTGCGTGCCTTATATACCACGCCTCCAAAGCCGTCACTACAATCCCCAGAAGCCACAATACTACATAACAACAAAACACACACACACAAAAAAAAAACAGCCTTCAATGAAAAGGGGGGAATCTATGGTTCACGAGATCCCTTTGCGTGTGCGAAATCTCTGGTTTACGAGATCCCTTTCGAGTGCTGGTTTAAATACGTAGGTCAGAGATCGAGTTGTATAAATGTTAGACTGACTGAACGCGAACGGAATGCGCTAAACAACGCTTCCAAATCCGAGTTAGCAAGACGCCTTCAGGAATATCGTGCATGTAAAGCGAACTATAGTCCGAAACGGAAGTAAGTCACAAAGAACGTAATGACATAAAACGTGTAGTTTAATAAACATTTTTTTTAAAGACGTCTGGTTGTATAAGTCAGGCGTCGTTGCTCTTTCGGAAGGAGTGTAAACAATTTTTGCGCATGTAAATTTTTTTTTTTTTTTTAAGGGAAGTTGTAGGTTGTTACAAGATCGCGGACCCGAGTAGACAGTTACAGAGTGTTAGGAGTGTCTTTGTCTGTCTCTTTGGACTGCGTAGATAGTTAAAGAAAGCGCAGTTTTAGTATTTTTTTGTTCGTTCTCGGAGGGCAAGGTCGTTCCTTTGTTTTAGTTCTGAACTCTCCGCGAAGCTTGCGTTCGCGGAGGTTAAGGTCGAAGTTCTGCCGAACTGTGACCCTTTGTGTGAATGTTTCCTAGCCGAGGTAAGGGTGTTTTTGAATGGGCGGAACATCAACAAGACAAGTTTGAAATAAGAGTTGACGGCAGATTGCCTAGTTTCTCCAGTGGCTAGTATTTTGACGAAATGTCACGTGATCGAGGTTCACGTGACACTCACACGGTCTTAGATTGGCTTCGATGTTTCGTAGCGTCGTCTGCGCTCCATCGTGATGTGCGGCAGTTCTAATCGAAGGTCCCAGGTGGCGCGAGCTAACAGCCGTCTAATTAGGTGGGGACGGCCAATATCCATTCATCCGTTCACTCCGAACGGGCGAAAATAAACCTCCTTCTTCGAACATGTCAGAAGGACGCGATGCGAAAGTTTCGCGATACAAGAGCAATTCCTATGTGACGGCTTTGTTAACAAGCTTCCTTTTTCTCTTCTTTTTCTTTTTTTTTTGGGGGGGGGGGGGGGGTGGGGGAGAACAATAGGGTATATATAGGGAGGGAGGAGGTGGGAAATGGAGTAAGAAAGGTAGAAGTGGAAAAGGGGGAAGAGGGATGGGGAAACGAAGAAGGAACGAGAAAAAGATGGTCGAGAGAAAAAAGGAAAAGGGGGTGCAGGAAAGGATATGAACGGGAGGTTGGATAGATAGGGAAGAAAAAGAGGGAAATGAACTGGCGAAAGAAAGTAGCGCGAACCCCCCACCCCTCTCTCTTCCCCTAAAGACCAGAAAACGTAAAAAGAAAAATATTAGGGGGAAGGGGGTAAGAAATTAGCAAGAAGTAGGAACGCGGGATATGAAGTTGTAAGGAAAGGAGAGCATGGGAGAGTGCTGAGAATGAGTTTGTGGGGGGCGAGAGAAACAGAAGAAGATGTGATTGGCGGGGAGGAATATGAACTGGGAGGTCGGATAAATAGGGGAAAAACTGAGCTACAATATTGAACTAGGGAAAAGGGAGCATCGATAAAGGGAAAGATGGAAACGGAGGAAGGGAAATCGGGAAACCCATCTCTTCCCCTTCTTCGCCACACACCCCCCCCCCCCCCCAAAAAAAAAAAATGACGCAAAGACAAGAGCAGGGAGACATGAAAAGTTTGGAAAGGGAAAAAAATGCTGGGAACGAAACGAAAGTCGAGGGAGAGCGGAGGACTCGTCTTCCCGCGGGAAGTTGAGCGTCATTGGAGACACGGATCAAAATTGATTGTCACGCGGGAAACCGCGCTCGCTCCCTTCCGATCAACCTACCGTTTGATGTTTTCTTTTTTTTATTTTTTTTGACGACGTAGCGTTTATTTTTTCGTAGTGCCAGTGTCGCTATTCTGCCTAATATATACGATCGATTGTCCAGTGTCATCGGGGCGTCCGGACAGCGGCTGCCCTGACGACCAGCGGAGAATCATGCGAAGTATACTCATTTTTATATAGGTAGTGAAAGAGGGTAGTGTGGGTAACGAAGAAATATACTAAGGGGGCAAGGCAGAGAAGGAATCGCACCGAGAACGGCGACGGGTGCCTATATCCTGCGTTCAATCGCCACCCATTCCCGTTTCTATCAGGACGAGGATTGTACCGGCATGCGGTCGTATATCACAAAATCTTAGTTAGAAGCGGACCTCTATGGGTTTCTGGAAACCGGCTTCATTTTGGGCAAAACAACGACCAGTGATTGCCGCTCGAAGGACAGGCGGCGAGCCTCTCCGTTGCCCGTTATCAGTCCAAAGCGTCAGCACGTCATCGTCGGAATTCTCGAGCCAGCATAGTGGCTACAAAGATCACGTGACCCTGCCGATGACGTCATTTTTGCTAGTTTTTCTTTCCGCCCTCGCACTCTTCTGCGCTCGGCGTGTCGCAATGGGCGGGTCTAAGTCGAAATTTAATTAGCGATTACGACGCTCTCACTATTAAGATCGAAAGAAAACTTAAGACACGTAATTTTTTAGGTGCCTACATTAAAACTTTTACGGTTCTTCTGAATTAAAGGATTTGTTCAGCTTCCTTTTTAAAGGCGTCGGGCTAGCAGTGGTGCAACACCGGCTAAATATCTCTAACTAACGCAAAGACACAGTCACCCACAGGAGCTGACTAACGTCTCGATGCCTAAACCAACACTCACCATTTTTATTCTATCTTTATATACCTCTCTCAGTGTTAAAGGGGCACTGAAGTCATCTTTGAAAAAGGTCGTTTTTTTATTTTTTATCTTTAAAACGTGTTCGTTCCCACACATACCAAGTCCTACATTACAAAACCGCCTATTGCTTTCAGGGCAAGAGAAAAAACACGTGGACTCTTTTCTCACGGACTACATTGAAATCCCTACAATACGCGCAGATTCCGTATGATTTTATTATAACTCGTTTCGAAGAGAGCCTGATGGGTACACATTCGGATAAGACTCCTCTTTTTCTCCGCGGGCGAAACCATCGCTTCCGACTCGCTGACAAGTGCCCTTCGTCGACCACTTCACTCAAAACAAAATTCTTCCCAAAAAGGGCGTGTCGCGATCTTTGAACACGGTTTTCACGAGGAAATAAGCTACGCACGGTTGTGGTTTCGGGGTTTTCGGGATGCTTAGAGCGGCTAGACTGAATTGCCATCACGAAAGGACGATCTCAAAATAGACTTCAGTGCCCCCTTAAGTAAAATGTTTTTTTTTTTCTCTTAATTGTGATAGGAAGATTAACTTATAGATGACCCCAACCGCAATCGGTTAGCTATATACTTGCGATGTTCGAGACTTGGACGAGGCCTACCTTGTAGAAGACGGTAAGCAGGTCATCCAGTTTCCCGTGGAGGTCCCCGACCACAGTGATCTGTTTGGCGAAGGCCGTGGACGCCGCGCTCAAGTTGGGCTTGGTCTGGAGGTACTTGCGCGCCTCATGAAGCACCAGCAGCACGTACTTGGCGTGGAGCGTCTGCGTGGCAACACGCGTCATGTCAACAAGAACGGTCTCGCTCTATGTACCACCTTGACCTGTGGGGCCACAGCCAGATCGAAGCGAAGAGGACGCAATGAATGTCAATCTTCGGGGTTACAAGGACCTGCCTGCTGTTAACATCGTAAAGCCGCGGGCAGACTACTAATACTTCGTGCAAATACAGTCCGCTGACACTGTATGACGCACGATCTTACACGAACCACCTGTTGATCGATATATCCATCCATTCACTGAACCGTTCAAGTATCCATTCATTCATCCACGCGCTCGTGCATCTGTGCATGTATCCATTCATGACTGCGTCCAGCGCTTTATCATTGTATCTATCTACCCGTTCGACCATGCATTCAACTGTGAGAGTATAAAACCTCGCGCGCAATACGTTGGAGGTTACCATCATCCATTCACTTACTCGTCATTTTACTTGTCCATCCATACATCTATGAATTAACCTCATGTACCCGTTCATTTCTCCGTGCATCTCTGCGTGCATCCACTCCCCATTCGTGAATCAACTGATCACTTCACGCATCCCAATATACATCTATAAACAACAGTAGGTTCACCGTTCACCCATTCAACCATTCATCCGCCGATCCATTACGCATCCACCTACTCGTTCATCCACTCATTTATCATCTACCCATCCGCCAATTCAAGACCCACCCATCCATTCAACATCCATCCATCCACCAATTCAACATCCATCCATTGTCCATTCACTCATTTGTCATCTACCCATCCACCAATTCAACACCCATCCTTTTATTTATCCTGCATATACCCATCCATTGCACTTCATCGCCGCGACTTTCAGTGGAGGGGACAAAAAGGCAGATCATGCAGCCTGCGCAGATGGTTCAGTCAATGACGAGGACAGAAAATGGCTTAGCTTGAAAAGGCGATCTGCTAAAAAAAACTTAACATGAAGTTTCGCATGCTAACTGTTTAAGTGTCTTGGATCCCAGCGGTATATGTCAGATTCGATCGCATCGCGACAAAGACGAGCTGTGATGGGCGTTGCACAGATATTGTGTACCAGGAGGGAAGGGCGGATATTATCGCACGACCGAGAGCGGTGCCGTTACAGAAGACTAGAGCGAAGCCTATTCCGCATGCGGAAGGTCGCGTAACCTTGCATTCCAGGTCTAAACTGAAAGAAGGTGGTAACAAAAACGGGCTGATTGAGCATTTCAGTACACATGTGGAGGTAGTGTTCAACCGCAAATTGAAACAAGACCCCTCGTATCTTTTTTTTTAAATATTTTTCCTGCGTGAATCCAATTTTCAAAGAATGATCCCATCAGTGCTGTTGTAGCCACGACCCACTGTCGTCGGTCGTGATTGTAGAGCTGCTGCCAGCTTACAGATGGTCTCGTGGTGACAATGCCGCATGATGCAAAAAGCACCGCTCTCGGCCGCTGGGAGAGGCAAGCGATCGCCACGTCTCCGCTTCTGCCCCAGCACGACCCGGGGTTCAGTAAATTGATTACGGAACAATTCATCCCGGACACTTTCTACTGGCTTGCAAATAGGTGACCCGGTACAAACTGTGGTAGAGCCGAAGCATGAAGCATGGGAACGCTCTCGAGCCTCGGACGCTGGGAGAACGACCGTCACACTTCATCTTTCGGTCCCTCCGGGACAGGTCCGCGTGCTTAGCGAGAAAGAACGGCGGTTCTTCGTACCCTCCTGTCCTTGAAGCCCTGGATGAGCGAGTCGACCTGGTTGGTGGTGAGCGGGATCCTGAGGTGGGGTCCCCGATAGCCCTCCTCCACGGGGATGTCCTCCGGGTTGGTGTTCCTGAGCAGCTCCTGCTCGGCCTGCCTCGTCTTTTCCAGCTCCTTGGGCTGGCCTGGTGCAAAAAGAGCGTCACTTATAGGGTCACCGATAGCTTAAGAATCGATGGGCGATTCTCAGACATGTCGTTATTGTTTCGCAGCCAGATTGCGGCATTAGCCATTAAAAAAAACAATTCGAAGAACGAATGATTAGGGGAGAGGCGTGAACAAAAATAAGTCATGCCTCGCGTCCTTTAAGCGGGCGGTGCAACGACATTCATTTAAAAAGTGTTTTTGTTTTTTTCACTGTACACCAGTTTACTGGCACTATTGGAGCCCAAGTTACTTGCACGCTACTTCGCTGGCCAGGGATAAAAGCGAGCGTTTTTTTTTTTTAATCCTCTTTTACAAAACCTTATGACGTAGCTTGGAGGTCGCAGTGTTAGTTAGCGTAGTCCTCCGAGTGACCGTATAATAATCCTGCTCACAGATTCTACCCGGGCGTCGCGGGAGCACCCGATTTGGGTTCGGGCTAATCAATAGCTCGAACAGTTGCCCGTGTCCAATCGCAGCAACGACAACAATAGCCGAACCCTATAACACTGCTCTGGAACTCAACGCGTGTCCTGTGCTTTGCCAACCGCAGAGCGTGGCGATGATATGAATATATAGGCGGCATATATTCGGCTCCAGATCACGTGACCGCTTGCCGCTTGTGGATGAATAAACGCTCCTCGTTTTTCTTTTTTTTTTTTTCTGTGACTACCGTCGCGTGCGGAGAAAATACCAATGCTTATTCCATACTTTATAAACGGTAGAAATTTATTCTAAGCCGCATTTGAGCAAAGTATGCTACAAACATTGGTGCACCACCAAGCAATATTTACTGCTTCCCACGCACTACGAAACCAAATCTCTTGTGATCAGAATGGTGCACGGTATTCTCTGAATGTCTTAACGTCTTGTCTCTAGATGAAAACTGTTGTGGGCATATACATGTGTTGATACTATGGTCACACGTACTACATGAGGAATTCGGGGCTTGGCCAATTGTGTTAATGCTCCTTGCTTCATGATTGGTTCTTGGGCGTTTTTTTTCGGCAAACGGCGTGATCTGATTGGCTGCGACACTATAACGAGCTGCTTGGGCTCGCCACGCCCAGCTATTCTTAAGCTGTCAGACCGCATAGCTAATATATTATAGTAGTGACGGCAAATACCGCCGCAAACTTCCTATCCTCAAAAGATCAAGCGATAACGATCAAAACGTCGTCCCATGTTATTAATACCTTTTTTTAAGGCTACATCTGTTGCCCTGATGATAGGGCAGGGACAAACTCCCATTAAATGAGGGGTTAACCTCCTTAGACAAGAAGTGTTGTATACATTACTTTTCTTTATGGCCGAGATAGGTTTCGACCGAAAGTATATATCCATCATTTTAAATTGACTTGTAATTGGGCCTTGCGAGAGAAGAGACAGCTCTAAACCCGGGGGACAAACTTTGAAGTTTTGATATTTAATAGTCGTTTAGCGACATCCACCTTCGGTCACAGTTTTCTACTTTCGCCGCCAGGGGCTGTGTTTTTCTGGCGCGATCGCGCATCCAAAGTAATGGCGTTTTGGTTCCAGGCTGTATAGCCGACATTTAGCTAAAGGAGCAGGGTTACTAAGCGAGCATTTCTAAACGTGCATCACACAATAGAAGCTGCGAGACCTACAGGGTGATTTCAGATAAGATCGACCAAAGGGTGGCTGGTCGACATTTTTAAATCAACTGATGTTTTTATATGACATTGTCTAGTGTCTGGTATAAACGAATCCACACTTAGTTTTGACCAGAAAAAAAATTTGGAGACAAGAAAAATCGTAAGGCAGGGAGAGGTGGACAGTTGCAATAACGCGCACTGATGGAGGGGGCAAGTTTGAAAGTGAATAATTAAAACAATAAAATTAGGAGAATTTTAAAACGTTTTACAAACAAACTATGGGTACAACTTGCTTGTAATATAAAGTAAATATTTATTAAAAATTTATTTAGTTTTCTAAAAATTGCCAAACATGCCTGCTCGAACGACAAATGGCAAACTTTGGAAATCTGTATCTCATGAAATAATTTAATCATTATTACATAACTTGCAGACATTATTTTACTAATATATGGCTATTATTGAAAAAATAAATAAGGTATCTGAGTGACACAATAGTTACAATATATTTAGGCAAACATGGGAAAAAAATCAAACAAAGAACAATTCCAATGCGAATAAAAAAAAACACCACCTTCGATTTTTTTTAAATTTGGGTACCCTGTTATACTCTATTTCGGCATTCATTTCTATTAAAAACATGTTGCATCATTGCACTGTGAAAGTAGAAACAACTCCCCAAAGTAGGGTCCTTTTTCAAAGCCTACACTTAGCAGTGTCCTATACAAGAAGTGACTCTGAGTTCCAGTTTCATGAAACTTGCACAAATCTTTTATATATATTTATTCAGATGAGGTCATTGATAAAAAGAGCGATCGGTCACACAGTAAAAGGGAGGAGAAACTATATACAGCATTTTACATAAGCGTACAAAGTGGTATCATATTAGAGACTAATGATTTGAGAAAAGATGATGCAGTGTGAAGTTGTACCTTCCGGTATATTTTACATCTAGAGTAAAATAAATAACTTTACTTCCACACACAAAAACAAAGATATAATAGTAAGATATTTAGGTTGGCTGTGTATTTACGATTACAAACAATTTCAGGTGACGGATGCCATAGTGCCTAACTGGAGCAGCTTCGATGCTCTCGGTGTATGAATGAATCGTGGCAAGCCGATATATTTTATCCTGCTCGAGGATAACATTTTGGGATTTTTTTATAGTGATGAGATAAAAATTATTAGTAACCACCAACAAAAACAGTAGGTTAAATACCCCGTGAAGAAAAATGTGATAAATAAGATGTCCCTGCATTCAAAATGAGCAGTCCTTGGGAAATCAAATTCGGCACTTTGAGCTAGGGTTTTCCTCGCTGTACCCATTTCATAAAGTTGCTTCCAAGCAGATCCGACTGTCCGTGCTACATATACGTCACAGGTCCCTTCTGTTGATGACTTGCTGAGCCGCCACGCGTGCCAAGACTGAATGCCAGGGAAGGCGCGCACCGTCAGCCACACTTCTTTTTTTTTTTGTTCACGATACCGAACAACCTCATTTTCGTCCAGATATACAAGATGCACGCCTTTCAGTTTTTTTGATAGAACGCTCACCATTGTCCTGGCCGTCTGAATTGCGCTTACTGAACGTTCTCTCAGGTTGTTCAGCGTGGCCTGGTGCTTCACGAGTCCGCCAACTCCGTCACATGCATTTTTCCCATGTCCAGATGCAGAAAATAACCACTCTGCTTGTGGGCAATCGTCCTTTGCAAATTGGTGAAGCTGGTAGCGATTCTTGAAATGACTGGCGGCGCCGTCACTTACGTACGTCACGTACGAGTATACCGCAACGTTGTCTTCAACCCACTCCTTCACTTTTTCTAGAGCCAAGCAAGCGTGAGCGGCGTCGTGACACAGGTCCTCACTGATGATGGCAAAGCTGTTTGTAGATTTTCTTGTCGTCACTACACATGTAAATATCGAAACTTGTTTTTTTTTTTCCAGTGATATGCTTGCACTTCGTCAGGAAGCACGATAGTCCAGTTTTCAGCAAAGTCAAAATGAAAGACAATGCTCCCGCTTTGCATGCACTGTTTTTCATCGTAGATCGCTTTACCTTGCGTTTGCCGGATATGGTTGTGAAGTACCCAACTTCCAACCGTCACTTGGATGACTTTTAGGAAAGTCTCAGGTTCCAAAGTTTTTTTCACAAGGTCGCCGGACTCCCATGTTGCAAGCACAATCTCTTCATCCTCCGGGATATCAAGTTCCTGGAGTGTAAGAAACTGGCCTTTTGGGCAGTGATCACAGTGTCCTTGAAGGCACAGTTCTGTTGCTGGGTCGCACAGAAATGCCGAGTTCATTTCACCAGTGTTGAATGTTGAGCCTGTAACGTTCTCTAGAGCGGCAATACAAAGATAATAATTGGCGCAGCGCACACAAACGCACACTTCCTGGTGTGGAATACATTGGACCCATCTAGGGCGCAACGAATAAAATTTCGTTAGCCCAACGCCGGAATCGGGATGCTTGTCTTTGTATATACGGAAGGCCTCTCGTATTGAGCGTGTCATGAAGCGCTTTGGCACGAACGTTTTCTCTCCGTTGAGCATGACAGAGATGACGTCCTTCTGGTTGGGACTTTGGCGCGAACATTGTAGCTCGTCTTTCGTGAAGTACTCTAGGGCAGCAGACAGGTTCTCAGGGCTCACCTTGCACCTCGTGTAAGGATCCGGCTCATACCACACGCCATGCTTTTCCTTGAGTTTTCGGGATTTACTGATGAGGTACATTGAGGCCTGTGGAATCATCTTTTGAACCTCATTCTTCGTCAGTGTTGACGGCAGGAGTGTAAGTAGTTGACAACGTTCCCGGAGAGAGGTGGCGGTTTCAAAGGCCTGCCGAAAGTTGTCCACCCACTCAGTGCATGTGGAGCATGTTGGTTCGGACGACCCCGATGGTGCGTCCCTGTCGTACGCAATACGTAGCCTTGAGCGTATATTCTTGACAGCAACCTGCTCCAGTTCTGTCTGCTTTCTCTTGACATAGGCAGGCCTGTCCCGACTTCTTACGACGCTTGGTTGTCTCAGCGGCGACACATCTGTAGGTAGTATGCTGCGATTGAGATCTTCAATTGCTTCTTCAGCTGGCACAAATATGTCAGGGCACTGCTCTAAGCTTCGCATCGAGATCTCCTTAGTGATGTGCATGAAGCAATGGTAGCACAGGTAGTCCGTCGCACTCACTTTGGTGGAACAGTCAGGCGGAAGAATTTGCTTCAACGAGTTTAGGTCCAACTCGCCAACACTTCGAAAATTCCGCTGCTTTGGTATAGTCTTTTTGTGTTTGCAAAAGTAATCTGCACAAAACACTCGTTCGGAGCTCCAGGACGTCTTCATAATGTATACATAAATAATAGAAAT